GTCAAGCCGCGTTCATTCCGTATACCACAAACAAAGTACGAATGTTAATGGAAAAAATACAATTGCTAACAAAAAAAGTGCAGATGTTAATAATGAACAAGGGCATTTAAAACCACAAAACGAGGGTAATGGCGATGATATTGACAAAGATCATAAATTAACTAAAGAAGAACCAGGTCCAGAAGCTGTAACAGGTGAGACAAATGTAAAAGATGTCATATGGCATCAATCTTCAGAGAACAAAGAGCTTGAGATAAAATATCAAGCTGGAGTTTCTGAAGATCCCGAAAAAGAAGAATCTGAAGTCGAGATAATTTTAGATCCTCCAAGTAGAAAGACAAGCATTACGCAAGAAAACGATGGGCATGTTAATCTTCAGACAAGCAATAGCACAGAATCTAACGGTGCAACTATGAAATCTGAAGATCGATCTGAAAATAGTCAATCGCCCTCAAGCAAAGAATCTCCGACATCACCATTAACGGAGGATCAAGAAAAGGAACGCGCACAACCTACTCAATCATCTAAACGATACTCGACAAGAAGAGTTGCTACTACACCAGCGACACAAGCAACTGAACAAGAGGTAGCGGGAAGTGATGTTGGTCCTTCTCGAGTTGCTGGAGAAATTCCACCATCAGGTTTGTGCTAAATGAAATTACATATCCTTTTTTTTTGTCGACAAGTTGACATTGGTCGACATTCAAATTATAATTGAGTCAATAATCTTTGTAACGAAATTATATTTGATTGATGTCGGTATATATGATATAAAATGATTATTAACGGTAAATGTATTGTGCGTATGTTGTATATATGTAAATGTCAAATATTAGCGATTTATGCACCTCCGTTCAGACCCAGATCAATGACTCTTTCAGAAGACAAGGAAGTCAAGGTCGAGGAAGAAAATCTTCTACCTCAACAGCCATTGGACACACCGGTTAGATATTATACCCCAAATAGGGTTCCAATGATGCCATCAAGAAGTAATAATTTAATGGAAAACAATTCTGGAATAGCTGTGTCTCCAACTCAATTTGAGAGCAATGGGATGGTTTACTATTATGACCCAAACGTGTATCAACCTTATTATTATTATCCCTCAGTTGAAACTAAGGATGGCAACGATAAGGCACCATATATGCCACAACCACCAGTAGCAAATGCAGTATTAGACAATGGCGTTTATTATTATTACCCTGTTTACTATCAGTAACTGGTTGAAAGCATTGCCCGAGTCGTATGGCTGGCAATTTGTTTAAGTAATATATACTATTGTAAAATAGTTTGTTAGTTTAAACACCAAAAGGTTTAGATACCTTTATTGTAAACATGATAAATACGATAATCGACTTGATAGGAACTTTTTATATTATTATTATTGTGCAACAAGTTTAAAAAAATTTTCATGTATTCGTAGATGTTTTTTGTATAGTAAAAGCTTTTTAGCGTAAATTCTTATCCATCATTCCTTAATTGGCTTAAAGCTATTTACTAAAACTTGAGAATGAAATGAAGTATGTCATTATGATGTCAAAGAGTAGTACTTGTAGGAAATTAAAGAAATTAAAAGTTATTAAAATCAAATTTGAACAAAAAAAATGTAAAACGTACTTAGTCTTCAAATTTTATTGAATGTGATTGGAAGTCGATTTTACCACCACGATATGAACCACGTTTCTTTTTCGTTTTCTGAGCACGGAAATCTTTACCTCTAGTAGCCGCAAAATCGTTGTATGCTTTATGGCCATATGATCCAACAGCTCCACCCTAAAATTGAAATCGAAAAATTAACATATGCATATTTACTTAAAAAGATCAATAATTACTAATTATCATTACTTTTGCTAAGAAACTATTATCTTTCAACTTTTCATTATGAAACTTGACTTCATTTACATTTATACGAGGTTGATGAAATCCATTCTTAGCTTTTCCTGACTATTCAATGCCATTATCGATGAGTTAGATATTAAAACATTAAAATATTTATTAAATAAGTAATAATAATTAACCTCCACTGTTTTCATCTTATTCATTTGACTTTTCTGAACTATAGGCGGGATGAAGAGTCCATTACTTGGTTTTATAGATGCTGCGCTAATAAACAAATAACATGATAAATTATCAATACAGAAATTTATTTAAAACTTAATATATTATTAAATACCTTGTAACCGCGTTTATCTTTTTGGTAGGTGGCGGTTGACATCGATTATTATTATTAGGAAAGTCATCCAAACTATTTTTCCTTTTTTTGCTCGTTTGTATGCTACCTGAAGAATTACGTACAGCTTTCTCATCATTCTTTTTGAATTTAGATGATTTCGTGTTACTCGAGCTATTTAAAATTTTTTTCTCATTCGCTTTTGAAGTGGATAATTCAACATCACTCTGATCCATTTTTTTGTTAGCAATTGTATTTTTTCCATTAACATTCGTACTTTGTTTGTGGTATACGGAATGAACGCGGCTTGAC